ATTAAAAAGTATCTCTTTTGAGAATGAGCCGTTGGTGTGGGTGTTGGATGTGGATGGGTGGTGGATGTGCTTGTGGGTGTGAGTGGATGCAGGTGTGGACGGCTGAATGTGGATATGGTTTCGAGTGTCGAGTATCCTGTTCTCATTATTCCTACACCCATACCCACACCCACTCACACCCACCCAGATCCACACCCACATCCACACCCACACCCACACCTACACCCACACACCCCACACCCACCCACCCACACCCACCCACACCCACACCTACACCCACACACCCACCCACACCCACACCTACACCCACACACCCCACACCCACCCACACCCACACCCCACACCGACACCCACTCACACCTACATCCACACCCAGACTTTTCTTGATCTACTAGCAAAACGAAAAGTCAGGTCATACGCATAACATTTATTAAATTAAAAAGAAAATACATTAACTTAAACTTTACCATATAGTTGAGACTTTTCATGACATTATTCAGAGATAAAACAAAAAGAATATTTTTATTTTAAAGACATCAAATAACATAAAAGGGCAAAACTCAACATCAACAAATGTGAACAAACATTTTTTTTTTCTTTTTCTATCGACTTATTGACCTGGGATAGATGAACGTTCAGTAGTTGATCAATGAGTAATAATTATTCATGAAGGAGGATAAGTTCAATAAAGATGAATGGTTGAGTTTTATGACCACAACCAAGAAAAAAAAGTTCATATCCAAGTCACGATATTAGACAACTTATTATACATTTATTTAGTATGTCTGTTTCGGATGGTTTGGCATTCGATTCAATTTCATCAGATGTTCATTGTTATTTTCTTTGTTCATCGTGTCAGTATTTGCTTATTAAACCAAAATGTGTTACATGTGGTTATCGATATTGTTCTCATTGTATTGAAAAAATAATCAAGTATATTTTATATATTAAAGTTTTTTCGTCTAAATTCTCTTTTTTTTCTCTTTAGAAGTCATTCATCAGCAATATGTTCTGCAAATAATTGTGGTCAAATGATCAAAAACAATGAAGGGTATTCCTTTAGCTGGTGTTCCACCGTATATGCAAAATCAACTTTGTAACTAAGATTTTCTCAATGGAAAAGCACTTTTCCGTTTCAATCCTCTACCTTCACCCACACACAGTGCTGTATTACCGAGCAAAACCAGAAAAGTGCTGTTCCTTTGAGAAAATCTCAGTTACAAAGTTGATTTTGCATATACGGTGGAACATCAGCTAAAGGAATACCCAATGAAGTAAATAATAAAAAAATTGAAGAAAAAATAATATTTATATACTATTTCTTCATTAAGATTTATCCTGATTTTGCAGTCGAAAATGATTTAAATATTTTGACAAGTATTGTTTGTCATAATGAAACAAAAGGATGCTCATGGAAAGGAAATTATGTATCATATAAAGTAAATTTTGTAGAATAAATTCTTAAAATTAATCTTTGTTTTTCTCTATGAAGGATCATTTTCAAGTGTGGACATTTGAAAATCTTCAATGTGATTATTGTTCAAAATTTATTACAAATCGACTATTAAATGAACAATATTATGAAATTTGTCCAAAAGCTCCTGTTTCATGTCCATTAAAAAAATTCGATTGTAATATTCAGGTATAAACTCATTATTATTTTTGTTGTTGTCGTACATCAAATAAAAAATTCCTTTCTAAATATCAATATGAATTAAAACTCATTTAAGAGAGCATCCATGATAGTATCGAGTGCTTCGATATCAGACATGATGCTCGATGCTCTCATGGAATCACTCTTAATTATCTAGCCATAAGACTTCTTTTGATGATAACATTTGTATATCTTTGTATGAAATGCGATAACCATTGGGTTAAGAGTAAATTTATATAGAATGTTATGCATTAAACAGCTTTTTTTCATTCAATCATCGACAACTTTTAAAACATAATGTCTCTATGTTTTTTTTATATAATACATATTAATAATATTAGTATATTCTTTTCTAAGATTCTACGAGAATCTATTCAAGATCATATCGCATCATCATTAATTGAACATATTGTGTTACTTCCTAATGGTGTTTCATTATTTATTAATCAATCAATGTCAATTGCTCATCAACCATTGTGTACTATTTCTCTTCCAAAATTATCAATTGAAAAGACAAATAATAAATTTTTTGAAAATAAATCTCTTAATCAAGATCAAATAAATGAACAAATTCGTTTACAAAAATATCTTCGATCACAAATTAAACAACTTATCAAAGAAGAATACTATATTATTAATAGTGGTGTTAATGTGAAATTATATAAAAATGAATTATATAAATTACAACAACAATATGCATTATCAAGATTTCTTACTAATAAGGAAACATATTTATGGTATATTAATAATCTTCAAGAGATTTTTCAAAATGCAAAACAAGCCACTCAATCAAATGATATTAGTTCTTCATTTTATACATATCGAGGTGGTTATAAAATTTCATTAAAAATATATGTAAATGGTCATATAACAGCACAAAATACTTATTTATCTTTACATTTAACAATATTATGTGGTCCTTGTGATTCATATCTTAATTGGCCATTTGATAATCCAATATTGATATGTTTATATGATAATAGTGCAAAACAATAGCATATTTTTCATACAATAACACCAGAGAAATACAGTGAATGTTTTCAACAACCAAAAATGAATGAAAATCCAAGTGTACAAATATTAGAATTTTGTCCATTATCAATGATATTTAGTAAAGGTTACGGTTATATTCATCAAAATAAATTGATTATTAAAATACTTATAGATTCGTGGATTCCTATATGATTTGATGAAGAAAACAAATTTGTCAAAGTGAGCAAAATGATAATCAAATGATTCACATCATAATGTTTCCATATATAACATTGAAAACAAAAGTATTAGATTATGCAAAATGTGTTCAATATTTGTATTTCTTTTTTTTTCTATGTATAATAAAAAAAATTCAAAAAATAAAGAATATCGATTCATATTTAAAGAAGTAGGATTTGAATTTATCTTGAAATTTTTTATAAAAGTTTCATTCGAAAATAGTTTTAATTTTCATGAAGAAATCTTTAATATTTTTGTAATGAAGTGTTGGAATATTTCAAGATTTAATATGCTGTTAAAAAAGTTGTTTTACTAATGCAAGTCTTTGATTGAAGAGAGACCGATTCTTATATCGGATCATATATTCATATCTTACTAAATGCAGTTGATCATTTTTAATGATTACGTGTTTTTCATTTCTGTTATAGGATATTTTCTATTTACTATCGATCCTATTCAAATTAACTAATTTAGTCTGCTATAAGTTCATATTTCATCAAGTTAATCATTCATTTACATTTAACAAAACAATATTAATAAGATAAAATCATTTTCATTTCGTTTCCTTGATAGTTTTGTTTTTTTTATTCCTCTTTTTAACACAACTGTCAGAAAAAATCTAGAAGGAACATAATTTTTTTTTCATTCACAGGGAAGAATGTTATCATCTGTCTAGCAGAATCCGACTCAGGTCGGGTTGACTCCCGAAAACTAGATTAATATCAAACATTGCTGAACTTAGCAAAAGGCGAGGAACGACAGAGCGTAGTCATCGCTATTGACTGCGTATGTAAAAATAAAAAATATCTCTACTACGATTGTTATTGCATAATTAATCAGATAATCATCATTAAAATAAAGAACGAATAGATCTACTCAGTAATTTTATGTTAAATGACATAAAAATGAATACATATATAGGACAAAACCCTTAACATATAACATCAAATAAATAAAACGATGCACGACATGAATTGTCTCCTTAGGGTGTGGGTGTGGATGTGGGTGCGCGTGTGGGTGTGGATCTGTGTGTGGCCATGAATAAAAGAAACAGCCACAGTCACAGTCACAGCCACCCGCATACCCACACGTACACACATATACCCACAACTACACACGCACACCCACACCCACAAATGACTTTAATCAAACTCAATGTAGAGCAACAGATCTAAGAA